ATATATATATATATATATATATATATATATATAGTTATAATACAATACAAATTGACAAGTCCAAATAACTCAATTGACACAAGATTGAGTTAAGCTAATTAAAGAATTATCATCTAAACTATTGGGATGCTATCAAAATCTCACATCCTTAGGACATAAGAAACATGAATTTATAAATACATAATTGTCCTGATTGCTAAGAGGCTTTTTGAGTAAATACTAAAAGCAAAATCATGTGAACTTAAGCTTAAAGTAGACAATAATATCTTATGATCAATGTGGTGCATGTATGTGTGAAGATCCCTAGTGCACAAAAGTGGTATTAGAACCAATGGTTTTGACCAGTTAACCAGCTTAGAGTCTTGGATGAGTATTTGATAATGTGAGGTGATGGATCCAAGTGTGGAATCCTGTGTATCAAAAGTCTTCATACAATGGGGTTTTCTTGGTAACATGGAGGATTAGGAGGTGTGTCTTACTATCATGTGTTAACGATGGAGTGACAACACAAGTACTTGGAGCATGATTATTAAGCTTTATGGGTCACCATCATATATACTTGTGGATTGATAGCTTTTGTTACAAGGGAGTTATAAATTAAGTTCTTTGTTTGAGGGGAGGTTGTAGGAATGTAACCAAAGTCCCACATCCTTGAAACATAAGGACACACATAAGTTTATATACACATAAAGTCTCCATTGATAAGAAACTTTTTGTGTGATGACCAAAAGTAAAATCCTGGTTGTAGGTGAATCTAGGTATATGATCTCTTGTCAAAAGTCTTCATAATGGTAGGTCCATATATGTAATATAGTCCTCTAGGTAACATGGAGAGTTAGGAGGTGTGTCGCATTATTGTGAATTAATGATGGAATGACGATATCAATACTTAGAATGTGATTAAACACTATCGGTCATCGTTGTATATACTCGTGAATTAGCTTTCGTTGTAAAAGAGAGTAAACCATGATCTTTTATTTGAGGAGATGATTACTAAAATGCAATCAAAGTCCCACATCCTTAGAATATAAAAATGAACATTAGTTTATAAACATATAATTGTTTCCATTAGTAAAAGACCTTTTAGGGATGATGTCCAAAAACAAAATCATAAATTTTGTCTAAAGTAGGCAATATCTTACTAGTATAAAAATAAGTATGTTTGAAAACTCCCCACTACATAACACTAACCCATACTTACTTTATTATAGATCGGTGTATATTTGATCATATGCACATCTAATTTTTGCTACATAGTCGAATATTACACCGAGTTTGGACTCAATATCAAACACCTTATGATTGCTATACATCTATGCTCCATGACTGCGCCATATCAAATATTTCATGTCTCATGCTCCCAAATCTCATCATGCGCCAAAATAACCATTATGGTTAACATATCCCTTGTTGGGAGATATATCAAACACCTTTGCCGAATGAACAACGACGTATAAGTATATTCAAATAGGACATTCATCCAAAGTGAAAAAAAAAAAAAAAACTATATCACGGTAATTAATTAAATAACCAAACAAAATTTGACCTTTCTCTCTAGGAGAGCTAGCTAGCGTGCTAATCATGGCTTGAACACACCGTTATGTGACGCAATTTCGAACCTTTGGTTGATTAATAATTTAATATAGTAGGTAGGAAACATTAGTTATGGCCATTTTATTCTCTATGGCCCTCCTTTTGGATTTGGGAGATGAGAGTGGGAAATGGAAGTTAATTGAGTTTGATAAAGTGGGGGTTGATGAAGGAGTTAGTGACTAAATATAATACTAAGTCCCAATTGCCGGTTGTTAGCAAAAATGTGTTGAGATTTTGAATAATAATAATACATACAAGAACAGAGACATGAAGGTAGTGTGGAAGAGGTCCCCATGAGGGGTCTCTAATTTTTATAGCTGCACGTGGTGGTGCTTGATAAAAGCGTGAAATTCCCAATCTCTGCTTGATTTGGGAAACCTCTTCCTTCATTATATAGGTACTGGCTCTCAAGACATGACACGTACGTGTCTCGTGAGCCATGGGAGTGGCATGTGATCACTTCATGTATGCCCTCACTCTCAAATATTGGCCCTTTTCATCGCTTAGTTGTTTCCTAACAAGGATGGTTAATGCAAGAGTCACCGTTAAACAAGTAGAAGGGAAATTGCCATGAACATTCCTCCAAATGGGATGTTTAGGATTCGGATTACGAGAAGAAATGAAATTTAAACAAATTAATTTTGGTTGGTTCATCTTCTTTCATACAAAAATGATATTTTTCTTTTGTTTTCTTGAGAATTAAAAAATAATCATTATTTTATTCTAAAATTCAAATATAAATCAACCATATAAAATGATTTAAATAACATATTCAAGTATAATTGGTATGCACAATTAAAAAAATAGCACAAATCACAAAATCATACTTAGTAATCAAATATTAAAAATACAAGTATCAAGTAAAAATGATCGGTTTGGATTTTAGATTATCGAATTTACAAAGAGTAAACTCGATACTTGAGCTAATAAAGGTTGAATTTCATTTGTTTGATTTGAGTCAAATTCGATGAATAACAAAAGTTAAACTAATTTAATTGTTATTCATCATGTTAATCTAAACTATTGAACGTTTGTATTTCAAACTTTTGCTTGCTAGCTTGTCGATTTTCTTGCATTTAAATTTTATAAAATGAGTAATTTACTTTAGTAATAGAATATAATAATAATAATAATAATAACAACAAAGTCATCATATTAAGGGAAGTCGGTGACATGGATCACGAAATGTTGTATGACTTAGGTACATCAATGTAACAAAATACTATTAACTATTAGATTTTTTTTCATGAATAGTTGAAAATGACTTATTTTACCTTTCCCCATCTTACATGAGCCAAATATGTCGATTCCTTAATCAAACATTTCACATCTAGCTACTTGCACATATTCTATATATGTACATAACGCACTTTGATTAAACGTGTTGCTTTCTTGATTTTACTTAGGTTGGAAAAAATTAAGATGGTGATTGGACAAAATGATTGTGCTAATTAAAGACATTAACAAGGCGAGGTATAATAATAATAATGAAGCATCAGTTTCGCTGAGATCTAAGTCACCAAATTAATGCACACACTTTGTTTGTTCTAATCAACAAAGGAGCCAGGGGATGTTGACCAATTGTTGCATGCCATGTCGGCAACGTTGTTGCAGCTAGTTTTGGTTTTGACTCATAAGCCTGAAACACGGGAGCGATGAGTCTTGAAGGTGGTAGAGGTTTAGGGGTACAATTACGTGGAATTGTGTGATTAGGAGGGAAAATTAACAAAGCATCCCTTGAATTGGAGAGAATCAGTTTCCTATGATCACATGGTCCTGCTCATAGAGACTTGTACATGAAGGCCCACTTTGTTAGCTTAAAAACAAACACACTCTTCTTAACCCACTTGAATCCCAAACCCAATATGGAACACAAAACAGAAGAAGAAACCTAAACCCTCTCTCTCTTCATCTTAATTAAACACCAAGTCTAGGTCATTGTCTTTGGTATTGTTATTGTACCCTCTCTGATCTCTTTCTCTTTCTTTATTTCTTTCTTTCTCCACCCCTCACTCTTCCTTTGTGTGGTCCTTTTGTTTTTCCTTCTCTTTATATCTCTCTTATCACTTTCTCCATTTTTGCATACCTAGCTTGCATCCCAACACTGCTATAATCATAGCCTTTCTCTCCCTCCTTCTCCATATTATATAGCCTCTCTTTTATTTGTTACTTTCCAAAACCAAAACCCATTTTCGTTGCTTTCTTTATTCCCTCACTTCTCCACCCCCATCCCCATCTTCTTTTAATTTGTTTAATTTGCACACTCACTCTCCTTAGTTTGCATAGTAAACTCAACTGAAGCTATAACATCAAGATTACTATAGAAAATTAATTGCACCAATTAAGCTCTACCTAGCTAGGGAAATGTCTAGCAGAAGGTCCAGGCAGCAATCTTCGTCAACAAGGATCTCTGATGACCAAATCATCGACCTTGTTTCCAAGTTGCGCCAACTTGTTCCTGAGATTCGTGATAGGCGTTCTGATAAGGTATACTTCACAACTTCTCTCTCTTTATCTCTCTAGGTGTCAACTAGAGTGGATGTCTACACTTCTAGAACATGTGTTATAATTATACAACACATCATAATAATTATATTTACACTGGTGCAACATAATATTTTTATGTCGGTTATTTTTAATTTTCTACATTCATCATTAAATTGATATTGTAGATCAAATTGACGTAAAAAATTATTAAGGGATACAAAATAGTATTTATTGCATTGAAATATAGAATATAGTTAAATACACTATTATTTGTTGTTTATAAAAAGTACCGAAGTAATATTTAGCAAGATCTTCGTAATATTTTTTTGTCGGAAACTTTTACTTACCACCTTAACTCTTATTTTGCTTAAAGTAGTTTGAAGCCTATCCTTAATTAACATTTCTTAGACCATATATAGGTACATAAGTTTGAATAGATTACATATATGCTGTAGTAGTTTTGCAAAACAAAGAGAGAGGCAAGAAGAAAAGAACGTATAAAATATATAAGATAATTGATACACTAGAGAGAGATAAAAAGATCAATGTTGTAAAAAAATATATATTATATAACTGTATTATATTAGTTTCACGTGGGTTGAAGCAGCTATGTGTGTTGATGAAGCCACAAAGAAAGAAGATAGAGGAAGTGGAATGGTATTGCTTGTTTTGTTGTGGAAGGGGATAGTGTAGAAAGAAATGGCACATGGCTCGGGTAGCACATGTAAGTGATATATATACATAATATTATAATAATTGTAAGTAGTCAAGGAATATAGTCTGAAATTGACCCATATATTAAGGGAATAGTTTCCAACAGCTCCAAATCTTATGCAGATCCCTATAGTCGTCAAAGGCTTCACATTGACTGGATCGTACAAATATAAACAGAAATATGTTATTTCCTGCTACGGTACATTAATTATTTTTCATTTGTGAAATAAAATCTATTATTCTCAAACTAAAATAGTTTATAAAAATAGTGCAATATATATTTGTAAAAATAACAGTAACGCAGAACCCCATAAAGAAAGAGACTTTAAAATGGAAAAAGGTCTGTGCAGTGTAACAGTCATGTGGTTAACTTGGACCAATTCGTGAAACGAACCTTCCTGTATGGTCTCTGAATAGGATTGAATCGTACATAGAGATACATATCATTCATTCAACAAAAAAAAGTGAAAAGTAACTTCATATATTTTACTACTATATATGTACTTTATAATTCATTTTTATCTGCTAAATTACTCGTTTATTTTATATTTTTGTCACACTTTTATTTTATTATCATTTAATCATTAAAAAATCTTACACATCAGCTATTTTTTTTTTCTTCTAAAAACGAAAGAAATTGTCTGAGTAATATATCTGCAGTCATCAACACTTGGCTCAGTGACCTTCATATTCCTTCTCACCGCTACAAACAAGCAAATTAACATTTCATCACTTTGTGTATTTTAAGAAAATCAAAGTGACTTATAACTTATTAATATAATTTTAAAAAATAAATGAGTGTACATTATCAATTTCCACAAATATTGGTTAACATGCATCTACTTGTTTAACAAACTATAAATTTAAGTGTATTTTAAGATAAACTTGTTAATATATCTCTTCAAAAGTATAAGTTCATGTTAGTAAATTTCCCTATATGTTTATGGATATGTGTAGAAAGAAAGTGACTATAGGTAATTGAGACACTGACATTTGGTTTGCAGGTATCAGCATCCAAGGTCCTACAAGAGACCTGTAACTACATCAGAAGCTTACACAGAGAAGTGGATGATTTGAGCGAACGACTGTCTCAGTTGTTGGCCACAATTGATGCTGATAGTCCTGAAGCTGCTATCATTAGGAGCCTAATTAACTAATATTAATGAGCGAGTAATAATCTAATTTATTTCCTATGTTCAAGGAGATATATAAGAGTGTATTTCTTCATCTTAATTAATTAATTAGGTGGCATAGAGTGCAGTTTGAGGTGCCTCCTTCCAATATAGTATATGGCAGGAATGGTGCACTTGTAAGTTAAAGGTTTTGTAATAAAGATTATTAAGGACTTTGTACTATGGTTATAGTGCTATATATTAATATATGCATGCCACATTTATAGATGGCCAAAATCCTCATGTATTAATATTGTTAAGTTTATTGAGATTATTATTAGTTTCTTTTTGGATACGGGAACTTGGTTTTTAATGGAATCCAATGACATCTTGTTATTTATCTAGCTGACATATAACTTAGCAAGCGAAAGTTATTATTATTATTATATTAGTTTTTTGGTTTGTTCTAAGATATTCTTAGTCCGTGTTTGTGTACCCAAGTTCTAAAAGATGCTAATCCAAATCTTCTTTTCCTTCTACGTGTCTAGATTAGAATGTGCAAAAGATTTCCAAACACAACTTTTCTAAAGAATATGGTAAGATATAGCTTACAAAATTAATTTCTAAAGTGAAAAAAAATATGCTTTATTTATATATTATATTTTAACCGATATTTCAAACTAAAAATTTGCATAAGATGAATGATTCAATCACAAGTGACACAATAAATCTAACAATCATTAAATAGGTTCTTATACAATATGTGATTCTTTCTTCTTTTTTTTTTAGTTTTGTTCAATTTTACAAAACAAATTTTAAAAATAAAAATTAGTTTTTACTTATATATTATATCGATCTTCATCATATTGTTGATCGATGTGTGATGTCTACAAATTTTATGAGTTAGAGATTAGTAAAATTTTTAAGGCTTAAAAATTATTAAATTGTTTTATTTATTTTTGCCTGATATATATTATGGCCGTACTATGATGACTCGTGATATCTTAAAAATAAGAAGAAAATGTTAGTTACTGGTGGCTATATATAACATGAAGCAGCTTTTATGTATAGATGTGATTAATTACTTTGGATTTTGTCGGCAAAGTCGAGTTCAAGTTGCTACGTACAACATGTCAATATATAAACGAATTCAGACTGCAAGTGTTTGACGTGAAAGTGATTTGAACAAAATGTTGGATAGTTGCTAATATAATAGAAAGGGATCGACCATTTTTGTATTCAGAAAGTGACAACAAATCGAGACAGATACCCAAAAGTGTCTTGGTTTTATCGGATAATGGTTAAAATATTTGGAAAGAAGCGGTTACTCAAGGAAGCGTGCTCGAGTTTCCTTTTGCCATACAATGATTTTGGATAGTATTATACAAATGATATTTTTGTACTAAACTTTACTGATTAATCTTGTTTAGGCGTGTTAAGTGTTACAATGTTTTGTTTAATTTACTATTGATTGTCTGTTTCTTTTTCTTTTAGAACTGTTCCTTTAACATCATGTCATTTTTTAGGATTTGCACTTTTTACTGTTGGTCTGTTATCGATGAAAGTCGACATTGTAATTGTAGGAACTAGGAAGTATACGTAACAGTACTGGAAAAGCTAATTTGGGTTTGATTTAACTTATTTAAATAAAAATATTTTCTTTATGGTTTTAATTTTTTCAAAAAATCATTGTTAATTTTAAGAATTAATCATTTTTAAACAATTAGCAACTATATATATTAGTAAAGTACATTGGTGAATCTTTTATGATGTGTTGAGAGCTTTTCACTTCGATGACAAACAATAGTAAGTAAAATTGGTGTTTAGAAAATTCAGCGACAAGGAGAAAAAAGAAAAAAAAAGCTTATCCCTGTACTTCATCACTGATCTATTGAATGGTAAAAGAAATTTGAACTTCAAAATATACACATAATTTAAACAGAAAATATTCATCCAATAGTGTTACATGATGTGGAGAAGTAGTTGACAACCTACTTCTCGCATTGACAAAAATAGTTTTGATATGAGTTTGTTTTTCAGAAAAGGATGAGATGAAAATTTTAATCGACAGTGTAAACTCTCAATTATTATTCTGATGTGACACTTTTTTTTATTGATTATGTTAAAATTAATCATGTTAACAATCAACCAATTAACCTTGAATTATGCAGCATGCATGAGTTTATGGGAAAAAGTATATTGAAAAGAAATCAGAACTCGTTTTTCTCACGCGGTGGCGATATAGACATACACATGTTTCCTTCCAGAGTTGGTTTAATGGCACACTTAAAGGATCTAACATCCATATATAGGGTGGAGTTGGTGACATCATAGGATAATTAATTAGTCTCATATTTTTTTAATATATAAAGTACTAATTAAAGTCCTAATAGCGTTTATTAGAAAGATTAACATCTGATGTAATTTTTTTTAGGGATTATATTAATTTCACCATTTCATTTTATAAATCAAATTGATAACGACTTAATTATATTATTACTTATTAGTGTAAAAATAAATTTTTTTACATTTTTATGTTGAATGTTATTTGCATGACATAAAAAGTGACATGGTGACATTTATAAATATATCAAAATATTCTATGAATAGTATTGACTTATCTAATGTTCTTCCTATAATAGGCAAGTCACCACTCATCATAAAATGTATTGGTCAATTTTTAACTTTAACCATTTTACAACGAGTATTAACTTACTTATCATAAAAAGAAGCATTCAATGACAAATAAATTATCACCAGCTCTTATTACTTACATTGAGAGTGCAAATTGAGTTCGTTCTCCATTGTTTCATCATCTTCTACATTCAAATAACAAAGACAATTTCAACATGAAGCATTTGTACATTCACTACTAGAAAAATTAAAATTTGTGACGGATAAAATGTCGTCACTAATAGTGACGACTTCTGTGACGAAAATTTTATTGTTGTGACGGACTACTTATTTTTAGAATTTGTGACGCATTTTGTGACGGAAAAATTTTCGTCTCTAACAACTTCGTCACAAACGGGGTCACTAATAAAAAAAAATTACGACAAATTTAGTGACGGATTTTGATTCCTCTCTAAATATTTCGTCACAAAAATCCGTCACAAAATTTAATGAATAATTTTGTGACGGATTCTGTGACGAAAAATGTTGAAAAATTGTATTCCGTCACAAATTCCGTCACAATCTGTAAGGGATTATGTATCCCGTAAATAAGTGGAGACTAATTTACGTCGGACTTCCCCCAGTCCGACGTAAATGTCGGAATTAACGTCGGAGTCTCATAGTCCGACGTAAATTTACGTCGGGCCCCACTAGTCCGACGTAAATTTACGTCGGGCCCCC